GCGCCGTTCTGTTTTTACTTAGCGGCTGGTCAGCTGTCCGTTTCTAAGGTAAACATGGCGTTCGCTTCCTGAACACCGTTCTTGTCGATCAGAAAATCAAAATACCAGCAAGATATTGCCTCGAAGATGAAGCAGTTGTGTTATTTGATTTGTACTTCACATTCGAGTCGAAGCTTGGGTGGCACAGGTTATTTCTTGTGGTGGACTGACGAGGGGAGTTTGAACACTAGTTGTAGTGTTTGAATTGTTGGAAGGAATGGTTGCATGGGGATGTAGGAATGGTAAGTTTAACGAATAATTTCAAATTTTGCTGCTTGAATTGGAAGTAATGTTCATTTGAATTGCTTCCGTATGTATTTCTGAAGGTTTTAGATCTACCTGCTCGATTTATGTTTGTAACGCTTCATGTTGACAAGTCCCTTAAAATGGCGGCCAAAGCTGGAGATTGCCCAAAATCAGTTAAGTTCGCGGAGTTATAAAGCTTTCGCAAAGGTCGCGCCGCAAAGTTTTTTTCTGTAGTTACCTTTTCTATGGTATCTACTTCCTAGCTATGTTAGTTGGATGAGGTAAGAACGCCTCACTTTTTCAAAAATTTACCTTGAATTTGATCGATTTTCGTATGTGTGACTTAGGCGAATGGATAAGGTGTCATTCAAGTCTTCTTGTTTGCTTGATTGAGATGTGACGTTCACGAAAGTCGCCTCGACGGACAAGATAGAGTTAATATACAAAGCTGTAGTATTTGTTTTTTGCTGAATTCCGTAGTTTGTTTTAAATTGCCCTCCAAAGCTGTCTCAAATTAAAGGCTTTAAAAGTTTCACGTCAGGCCTTCGCTCGAGTGAAATTTCATTTCCGTAAAACTTTGAAAAATAAAGAGATCCGATTAAACGGATTGTGGTTTTAGTATAGGCACATGAATGTCTTACAACACACAAGAAATGAGGGAATTTGTGTCTCAAGCAAAATCGACCGGACCGCTTTTACAGAGACACACTCTTAAATAGGAACGCCATACATTTTAGACATAGCCCTTTGAAATCTTCAAATTGACAGATTACTGGCTCTTTACCCCTTGGAATCACTACTACGGTGCGTCGGATACTGGTAACCTACTCTTTGGCGCCAAAACCTCGCGCAAGTGTACCAGTGCTTTCCGCATACCCACATATTTATTACATTGGACTGAGAGAGAGCATTAAAGACTGTGATGAATGTAATGAATAGAATACCAGGTTAAGCATTTTTCTGCAAAGCTTAAATTAATTAGACATTGATGGGCTTCAATATTCCTTACATTCTAATCTGAAGTAGATATAACAGTTGGTCTGTATATTGTACATTATTCTTATTGCCTTCTTTACTCCGGTTTAAAATAACACGATTCAGGCCTTCAAGGTGATTTCAGACGCACAATCAATGGAGAAGAGAAAGTCGTTTACCCTTCTTAAATATTACGAGGAGGTTCAGAAGGAAATAGAGAGTCTTGATGCTAACTTCCTAGATTTGCTGAAAACAAGTGAGGGTGACGTCCTTTCAAAAATGAGGAAAAGAATGAAAAGAATGGAAAACAGAGATTACGTTGTTCTTGTGGCAGGTAAGTAAGCGCACAAAGTAATGTCACGAACGAACCACAGTGGTGGTTTTTGCGATCAAAATTTGGCTTTCATGAGATATTTGGGATCAGGTCGTAATATACGTGGTAAATAAAAACAACAATGATAGCATAGGTGCAAGTAAAATCGCGTATAAAGCTCTTATCTGTTTCATCTACACGTTTTTACCTTATCAACTTATAGGCGAGACAAGTGCTGGTAAAAGCAGTATGTTGAACCTAATTCTTGGTGAAGAGCTTCTGCCGTTTTCAGTTTTAAGTACGACATCTACAATTTGTGAACTGAAACATGGAAGAGAGCGAACAATAAAGATACACTACAAGGATGAGCGGAAAGCTCCAAAGGAAAAGATCCTGGAAGAATCTTCTCCTTACAAGGATCAGATATCCGAATTTGTTCATGTCAAATCTGCAGATTTGAGAGAAAAGGCATCAGACTACAAAAAGGTGGAGCTGTTTTGGCCTCACGCCTTATTACAGGTTAGAGGATTCAACAACATTCCTTCGGTGTGGTTAGCTTGTCTCTACGCCACCTTTAGCTCATTTGGCTTTCATACCTGTAATTTAGGGTGCCTTACAGCAATTTAGGAACTTGTTAATGAAATCTACATCGAATAGTAACTTATGAAAAGAAAAAAAAGACATTATATAATATTTTTCTAATTTTTATATCAGGATGGAGTTGTGATCGTTGACAGCCCTGGCGTGGGAGAATCAGATATCATGGACAAAATTGTGATGAACTACTTACCAAACGCTTTTGCTTTCATTTATGTCATCAACAGCAACAATGCCGGTGGAGTTCAAAAAGATCGCGTGAGTATTTATTTAAGTTAAATACTATGGTGTGAAGCCTATGGCAAAAGGTTTTATGCCGAGGACCGTGTTTACTATGAAGTGAGGAAGATAACTTCCAAGTGGGCGTAGATTAATAGTCTCACATTGTATCGGCACTAGTTTGCCTTAGCCGTTTCTGTTAGCATTTTTGTCACGTTGCGTTACTTAACTATTCTGAGACACGCCTTAGTTTGTTAGTTGTAAGGCACGCTGTGCGTTTTTATAGTCCTGAAAGGGGGGGAATTTTTTCTTCCCTTTTTGTCTTAGTTATTTAGCCATTATGCATGTTTTTCGTAGTTTTGACAATGAATAAGCCACATGGTGTTCAGTTTTGCATGCCATTCGCACCCGCACTGGTACAGTTTGATGGTTTAGAAAAATTTGCAGTAGAGCCCGTGTGATATCAACACTCCGCCTCTGTACCAAATTCTTTCTCAGCCTGATCACTTCCGAGTTCATCTGTCATACTGTCTTTAACTTTGGATTTACAGAATCCAGCCTTCGACGACAATCGGTTGACTCCGTCACTCAACCTTTGCCTTCTCTTCCTTTCCATATTCTATAAGCTTCTTGCCAAGCTTCTCGCCAAGTCAGTGTACGTCACAAAATCAGAAGTATCCTTCGAATGCAACATATCAAGATATCTTCTGTTCAGGGCACCTTCTAGATCTAGCGTTGGTTAGATCGAAAGAACACAGTGAGCACATCGCATTGTAGTGAATCTCAAAGCTATAAGAGTCGTAATTATACCCAATCAGTTTCAGCCTTTGTAGCCTTGTAACGAAAGCACAGACGAAAAGAAGTCCGTCGAAAATCGATCAACAATTAATTCGCCTCGAATCAATGGCACTATTGCAGCATCCAAGCCAGCTTTTTCGTTTTCCACAGAGTCACGTCTCACATTCTCGATGATTGTCAAAAGTTCCGTGAAAGATCCAAGACGAAGAGACTTCCTAACACTGTGCCCGTATATTCAGCCTGTATTCAAGTTTGCCACGAGGGACCTGCCAATATATGTGCAATCATAGGGTTGTTAAAGGCCCATTTTCATCCGAGATCCTTTGCAGTCGTTTTTTTTTTTATTTTGGAATCGCGCTATTGTTAAATGGCGAACTCTGATAGTCATTCGCAAACACTATTAAAAAGAAAAACAAAGATTTGGAGAAGAATACAGTAAACAAATTTGCAGCTAAATATTTGAGACCGAAAAATCATAAATCGAGTCTTTGTATAAGACTTGTACAAAGCTTACTTGATGTTGAAGGAGATTGTTCGGCTTCAACACTAAATAAAATACAAACAAATAACCAATATTGGTCACAACTGATTTACTTTACGCATTTCAATTATAGAATAATGACTTGTACAAATGAGATCGCTTACATACATATCTCAGGATCTCAAGTAAAAATCAGTCAAATAATTATTCTCACCT